CAAAGACAAAAATCTAACAACTTGTCTCAATAAATCAGAAGCTGCTTGTAATCTTTCCAATTGTATAATAAAATTTTTCATTTGGGAATAAGGTGTATAAACTCTTGTCTTTAAACTATTTATTAAAAAATAATTTAGAATTCTAAATAGATCAATAAATATAATAAAAACATAATTAATTTACACACACTACCTATCCAATGAAGTATTGAGAGATTGTATTCCATTTTTTAATGTACCTAAAACATTTTCTAAATCTTTAATTCCAAATGCTAATGATATTAAATCTTCATAATTTGCAACGACCTAAAAAAAAATTTTTTTATTAAATAAAATTTTTGATCTCTTTTTTTTCATTCCAAAAAAAGAGTTTTAATAAAAACCTTATCATGTATTTGTTTATTCAAACTTTCTATGCTAAAAGATAATTTAGCAAGAGCGATAGCAATATCTCCATCTCCATCTCCATTGGTTGAACTATTATTTATTGTAGAATTTGCATATTCCTTTGGGTCAAAATTGTTTGATAAAAATGTTTTATAATCTATTGGAAAGATTACAAGCAGCTTCTGATTTATTGAGACAAGTTGTTAGATTTTTGTCTTTGGTAAGATGTATAGAGAATCAATTATCTGAAATTGACAATGATGATAATAATAGTGAAGATAATAATAGAGATAAGTCAGCTCATTATTTAGAGCTTGCAACAAACCTAAGTGAATTAGGTAAGTTAATTACATGATTATAACTATCATTATTAATAACTAATACTTTTATTTTTATTTGGTTGGTGAAAATTAGAAACATTGTTGCAAGAAGTAAATTTTGATGGGATAAATTGTGTTCAGACAAATTTATATATAATCCAAAAAGCAAGAATAAAAATAAAACATGGAGCTCTACAATCATTAGAAAAGAAAAGTATCCAATAATTTATATATCATTTACAATAGTTTATTTAATTTAATCACTCAATGTATGTAATCATAGAATATTCTAGGTTTAAACAATTATGTTAATCCAAAAATTATACATAATAGGTTGGTACATATATTTGGATTTAATTAGGAAACCTTAAAAATTTTAAAAAAATAGCATTAGATTTTATTATTATTTTTTTTAATTTTATAGAAGTCATGAAATAAAAAAAGTTAATAACATCAATTAATCGCTCGCGATATAACAAAGTCAGGGATTATATGTATGATAAATTTCTAACTGTTCGTCATTCATAGACAATAAATAAATTTTGAATTAATATATAAATATAAAACTGTCTGTATATATTGCAACTTGAATATATCACCATTCCAAAAAAATGTTTCTTGCTAAATTTGTTGCTCATGTAAAGAGTTTGTAGTTGATGTTAAAAGCTAGTAATGATTCATGCCAAGGTAGTCTCGTTTCTATTTATTACTATATACATACATACACACATACATACATATAATATAAAATGAAATATTATTAGTACAACCTTGTCTTCTTATAAAATTCTAGTTTTTTTTTAATAAATTGATAGTTATTAAGATTAACTTAAGGCTGTTCATTTAGTTTTCCCTAATTTAACAATAACATATAGCAGAGGCAAGAATTTGTAACTTTACTTATAGAATTCATAACATATGTTGAACTTCGCATTACCCTTTTTAGTAAAACTTTATTAACAAAAAGTTATCAAAAGCACACTGTTCAATAGCTTTAATCCTAGAGAGTATATATACAAAGTATAATTTTACAAGAAGTTTTACCTTAAAACCGTGGTCTTGTGATTTGTTATATATCATGTGTAGTGTGTAACCGAACTACCCTTATAACATTACACAAGTTGTTTTTTTTTTTATGTCATTTAAAAAAATACAAAAAACGAATCAAGAAAATGATCGAAACAAAAGAAGCAAGAATGGTGGCTAACACCACTTGTATTCATCGTCTACAGGGAAGTAAAGAAGAGAAAATTGCTAAGCAATATATCCTGATTACATCTCTTGGTGGGTGCCCTTCACGCTATTACTTCCTACTCAAGTCAGGTATGTTTTCCAAACTTCACCAAATAAAATTTATTAAATATTAACTCACTAAAAGAAAGGAAAATAAATAAAAAAATAGACAAATGTAAAATAAAAGAAAATTAATTATGCACGGGTTAGTATGAATTCATTGTCAGAGATAGGTTTATTATCATTGCAAAAATATAAAATTCAAAGACAACAACAAGGAGAATATAAGGTCAAGGGCAAGCATAAGCATAAGGATAAGGATAGTCTGTTATTTATTAAATGATTATTGTTTCTATGTGTTGATTATGTTAATGATATAAAAAAAAAAGAAACCAAATCATTGGTTTCTGACATGCTGTAAAATTTCTAAGGTAAGGAAAAAAAAATCTTTTTGGGAATTATGGGAAATGTCTGATAAAGTAAGTGATCTAAAAAAAATTAAATTTATTTTAATTATAAAAAAAATGAAAGTATCTCCTGTCTTATTGACTCTCTAAATTCCGCGGCAAATCTTAAATCATCAACCCCACCTCCGCCTTTCCAGCATATGCAGCACACCGGCTCCTAATTGAAAAAAAGATGATTAGTGAAATCATATTTTAGTTATTAATTTTTTAACTTGGTATTGTACTTACGCATCTCTAAACAATCTTATAACTCCCCTCTCCGCCATCTATTTTGAATGCCAAGGTTAATTATTAATATTTTTTTAAAAAAATCAATTCTTTGGTTAAAAAAGAAACTGTACCCTTTGAAAAGATCTAATGGCGCCTGCTTCAAATCTCACTCCTGGCCCTGCCGCCTCCCTCACAATTCTTCCAAAAGCCGCCTCACTTATCTCAAACTCCCTTTTCTCTCCTCGGCTATTATAATTTTAGTGTAAGCAATATGAAAAATACCTGAATTTAGATTTCTAAAAAAAAAACAGAAAAGCTTATAAAAAAGGTACCTCTTCATCATCAGTTTCATCATCAGTTACATAATCATCATCATCAGCATCACCATCATCAATCTCGGTCTCCTCCGTTTCATCAGTTACATCGTCATCAACATCAGCAACGATCCC